CCTTAAAATGGCAGCGCCGCTCGCGGAGCCCAGCGCTCTGCACCAGGCGGGCGGGCGGCGCCAGCAACCAACCCCATTGGCTGGCTCGAGGAGGGGGCTCGCGAGACAGTGCCGGCCCCCGGCGCGAGACTCCCAGCCCAGTGGCCGCCTGGAAATCGCGGAGTGGAGCGCAGTCATTGGACACGGAGCTTGAGCCCCCGCCCGGGGCCCCGTTAGTTGGGAAGGCAAAGCTAGCCTCCGGAGCTGTGAGCACGCCCCAGAGGAAGGCGGCGTCCCCTTTCCGCCCAAGGGCCGAGGACGCTAACCCACTGAACACACAAATCTACGCACCTGCTTCCCTTACCTGGCTCAAGGATCTGGCCCCCCGGCACACCCGTGCCCGCCCTACTTCCTGGAGCCCACTCTACCCGTGATCCCCTCCTCTCATTCAAATGGTTCCCGGTCCCCTCCCCCTCCCCGTGTCGCTCTTCGCTTCCCACTCGTGTTCAACCCCCTGGCGTCCGCCCCCCTCTAAAAGGCTCTGGCTCAGTGACAACGCCTATGCAGTAACCGTTACTGCCTGGTGACCCCCAAACCAGGTCCTGCAAAGCCTCCCGCCCCGCCCCCCAACCCCGCGCACGCACACACACTCAATGGTCTTAGGGTAAGTTCTGGGATCTTCTCCCAGAGTCTTCCTGCTGGGGGCTCCGAGCATTATCTTTTGAGTAGTTTTCCTTACCAGGGCTGGTCTCTCTTTTCTCTCTTTCTCTCTCTTCCTCTCTCTTCCTCCCTTTCTCTCTTTGCCTCCCTCCTTCCTTCTGTCCGTGTCTGTCTGTCTGTCTGTCTCTTTCTCTCCCTGTCTCTTTTGGTCTCCATCTCTGTCTCTCAGACGCAGGAGCCCGCGCGCGCACGCACACACACACACTCACACTCCCGCTCCCCCTCCCCGACGGTCCTTACCTTGTGGGTGTGGCTGAGGTTAAGGCTGGAGAAGTGGGCCAGGGGTAGGGGTTACTAGCCTTAGGCCTAGTGCCTTTAAAAAATGTGGCCAGGATCCACTCTCAACGTCGTCGGTTTAGTCAGAGCACCTTACAATCCCTGCTCCGCAGGTTCCCACTCCAGCCCTCAGGGGCTGGAGAGCGTATAGTAGCTGAGACTCGGCTGGAAGGGAGTCCTTTCAGTAGTAGTAGGTGTGCTGTCCAGTGCCTACTCTAGCTTGCTTTTTTTGCCCTGGGCCTTTTCTCCTTCCCACACTAAGCCTCGCCCAGCCTGGTAGTCCTTGGGAATTTTACCCTCCCTTTTCTCATTCACTTTCCCAGGAACCTTATCCTTCCAAGTTCTCAAATGGCCTTGAGGTTATCTTTGCTCTCCTATATAGAGAGAAACAAGTGAGAATTCTTTCCTTTTTAGGTTTCCCAAATCCGGCCTTCTCTTTATCTTAACTGGTCTTCTCTGTACCCATCTCCCACCTAATGCTTATTTCTAGTCGTGTTCCTCCCCTTTGGCAGTTTCTGCCTGTTCCGTCTCAGTTGGGCCACCTAGTACTTGTGTATCGCCTGCCCTCCTCAACACGTACTTGGATCTTTGGCTGCTTTGCTTGTGGAGAGAGCCTGGTCACTGGCTTTCAAGTTGAAAGGACACCGGCTAAGGAGGGGAGGTAAATGGTGTGTTGTTCACTTTAGAGGCAGTGTGGTAGCATAAAAGTGAGTGTGTTCTCAAGTCAGATCAAACTTCTAATCTCAACTTTGCCTACTTTTTCTTCTTAAGAATTATTTTTAAATGTCGTTTATTTATTCATTCATTCATTTAAATTTGATCAGAGAGAGACACACACAGGGAGAGAAAGAGAGAAAGCAAGCCACCAAGTCCGGGACTCGAACCTTTGTCGGCCATGTGGGAGTGTCCAGCACCCTTAACCACCACACCCACCCGCTGGTCGCCAGCTTTGCCTACTTTTTAGCCAAGTGACTTTGGACAAGTCACTTATCAAGTCACTGGGCCTTAGTTTTCTCATCTTGAAAGCAAAGAAAAGGAATCAATCTAAACATCCAGTAATCGGGAACTGGTTAAATCTATTTTGGTTTTATTCCTATAAAGGATGTAATCATTAACAACCACATTAAAAAAACAAACAAAAAATTAATGACAGGGTCAGCCAGTGGCATGGTGCTTAAGGTGGCTGGATCCCACAGGGCTGATTGCACCATTGAGTCCAAGACCCAGAGGCTTGAAAAACATGCCAGGGACCTATGCATGTGTGTGCTCAAAGGAGAATGGAGGAGAGGGGGTTGCTGCATGGCCACCACCACCCCCCCAAGTGGGTGCTTTTTCACTTTCTCTCTTTCTACCTCTCTCTGGCAAGCATGCACGTCCTATAGCAAAAACCGAAAGAACAAATATTGACAAGGAGCACAGAGAATTTTTAGGATGGTGAAACTATTCTGCATGTGGACACATATCCACATAATGGATATATGTCAGTATACATTTGTTCAGACATATAGAATGTACAACACCAAGAGTGAGCCCTAGTGGAAACCATGAGCTTTGGCTGATAATGATGTGTCACCATAGGTTGGTCAATTATAACAAACGTAGCATCCTGATCAGGAAAGTCGATCTTCGGGAAGGCTATGCCTGTGTAGGGACAGAAAGTAAATGGGAAATGTCTGTACATACCTGTTGATTGTACTATAAATATTTTTTGGGGGGGAGAGATGTTTGCTATAGAGTGTGTGTGCTCGCCAGAACGACAGAGAGAGAAACAAAGAGACAGAAAGCAAGAAATCACTCCCCAGGGATGATGGCCATGCTGCAATCCCTTCTCCTCCATTCTCTCAGGATTTAGGGCATGCATGCTCATGTGCCCAGCATGAGTTTCAAGCTTCTGGGTCCCAGACTTGAACTGTGGTCAACTACATGGGAGTCCAGAGATGTAACCATTTTGCTATCTGCCAGCCCCAATTAAATAATTCCTTTTTTAAAAAAATGTATTTATTTCATTTTATTTATTATTGTATTGTATTGTATTTATTTATTAAATTTGATCAGAGAGGGACTGAGTGAGAGAGAGAGGGAAAGTGAGAAAGCAAGCTGACAGGTCCAAGACTCAAACTGTGGTCAGCCATGTGGGAGTCCAGTGCGTTAACCAACACACCACCTGCTGGCCCAAATAAAATAACTATTTAAAGAAAAAAATGAAAACCCATAGAATATACAGCACCAAAATGAAACCCCTATAAACTTTGATTTGGGCTGGTTGCTAACAATGTGTCATTGCTGGTCCATCACTGGAACAAATTTACTGCTCTGTTGGCAGCAGGTTGATGGTCAGGGAGGCTGTGAGGGCTGGAGAGGGGGAACATGGGAACTCTTGGTACTTTCAGAGTAATTTTGCTGTGAACCTAAAAATTGCTCAAAAAATAGTCTATTAAAATTAAAACTAATGACAAAACTACTCCTAATATAATGTTTTTATTTATTTATTTATTTATTTTTGAGAGAGAGATTTTTGCTATAGGGCATATGCACTTGCTGGAGGACAGAGAGACAGGAAGTGAGAAATCACCCCCCCCCCAGGGGCGATGGCCAGGCTTCAATTCCTTCTCCTCTTGGGATCTTAGGCATGCACACACACACGCCTGGTGTGAGATTTAAGTAGCCGGGTCTGAGACTCGAACTGTGGTTAACTAAATGCAAACATAATGACATAACCACTAGACCATCTGCTGGTCCCAATGTTAACTTTAAATATATATATTATTTATTTAATTTGATTTATTCATTTATTTATAAATTTTAATTTGACTAGAGAAAGACACAGAGAGAGAGATAGTGGGAAAGTGAGAAAGCAAGCCACCACATCCGGGACTCCAAGGGGCTGGCAGGTCATGTGGTGGTTAAGGGCACTGGACTCCCACATAACCAACCGCAGTTTAAGTCCTGGACCTGGCGGTCTGCTTTCTCACTTTCTCCTTCTCTCATTCTCTCTCTGTCACTTTAGTCAAATTTAAAAAATAATAATAATAACAAATAAAATTAAATAAATAATTTTGAAAAATAAAATAAAATAAAATATGGGGCCAGCAAGTGGCATAGTAGTTACAGTGCTGGACTCCCACATGGCTGACCACGGTTCAAGTCCCAGACTTGGTTGCTTAAGGATCACACCAGGACACATGTGCACATATGCCCAAAATCCCGAGAAGAGAAGGAATTGTGGCATAGCCATCCCCCCGAAGGGGTGATTTCTCACTTTATCTCTCACTGTCTCTGTCTGACTCTCTCTGGTGAGTGTACATGCCCTATGGCAAAAACCTAAACAAACAAACAAAAAAAAGGAAGTTAAAAAATATTATCCTAATTTTGTGGAGGAATTCTATTTATATACACATATGCATAGAAAAAGACTAGAAGGAAAACTATAAAATGTTGAAAAACAATGATCTCTATGTGGTAGGAATATACACAAGTCTATAAATAACTTTCTGTATTATTTCTATGGTCTAGTTTTTTCCACTCGACACATACAAGTTTTTATAATCAGGAAAAATATTGACATTTGAAAATAAAGATGTTGGGGGGACCAGCAGTTAGCGTAATGGCTATGTCGCAGGACTCCCATGTAGTCGACCGCGGTTCAAGTCCTGGATCCGGTGGCTTAAAAATTCAGGCCGGGCGCGTGTGCGTGCGTGCCCAAGATCCCGCGAGAGGAGAATAGAGGAGAAGGGATTGCAGCGTGGCCATCCCCCCTGGGGGGTGATTTCTCGCTTTCTATCTCTCTGTCTCTCTCTGTCTTTCTGGTGAGCACATGCGCCCTATAGCGAAAACCTCTCCAAAAATAAAGATATTGGGGCTAGTAGGTAGAGTGGTAGTTAAGGTGCTGGACTCCCACATGGCCGACTGTGGTTCAAGTCCCAAACCTGGTGGCTGGTTTGCTTTCTCACTTTCCCTTTCTGTCTCTCTCTTTGTCTATCTCTGGTCAAATGAAAAAATAATTAATAAATGGGACCAGCAGTTAGCATAATGGCTATGTCGCTGAACTTCCGCGTAGTCAACTGCAGTTTGAGTCCAGAACCCGGTGACTTAAACTCACGCCGGGCATGTGTGCATGTGTTCCCAAGATCTTAAGAGGAGAATGGAGGAGAAGGGATTGCGGCGTGGCCATACCCCCTGG